TATGCCCACCCCCTGTTGTCCATGGCCACTGGCTAGACCCATATGCATGCACACAAGTCCTTTGGTTGATCTCTTCCCCTTACTCTCACCCTCTCCTACTTTCCTTCTGAGGTTTGAGAGTCTGATTGCTGCTTCTTTTTCTCTGGGTCTGTTTTTGTTCATCAGTTTATATTGTTCATTATTTCCTCTAGATGTGTGAGATCATGTGATCTAAGAAATACCCTTGTAAGAACCTAAACTGAGACAAGCCATAATGGTTATGCTGAGAGGCAAATGAATCAGTCTGCATTGAGTTCCTTTCTGGGCCAACAGTTCTTTCGAGTCCCAATTTCAATGTCAAATAGCTCCTTATGTGTACATGTCAGCCATGCTATTTCAGATCTGGTTGGTGGACAAATGGTGATGATGCAGGTCCGACTGTCTCTGGTTTGGTCCTGGGCATCCTTCAGCAACACGCAGTTGCTGTCTGCTGGTATGGCGAGGCATCATCAGCATCTTCCATCTCTGAATTGTTTCTCTTTTGTCTTCAAAGCTGGAGCACTTCTGTCCATTCCTCTCTGTTACAGGGTTCCAGATGGTCTTGGAGTTGTTTTCTGAAAATATACAAACATATTCTTGACCAAAAGTTAATAAAGGGATATTTTCTATAAATTTGACTTGGGATCCTTTTTCACTTTTTCCCCCCAAATGATTTTCCTCTGGCTTGTTTTGACACCATGTGTGTATTTTCATGGGTATCTTGCTGTTATAAAGACTAATTTTTTGGAGGAATTTTTACTATCTAAAATGTTTGTACAAAATAGACTTTTTTGGAGCAGTTTTAAGTTCACAGCAAAATTGAGTGGAAAGTTCAAAAATTTCCCATCTATCCCTTATTTCCCAAGGCAAATCTCCCTCATCATTAACATCCCACACCAGAGTGGTACATTGTTACAACTGATCGACACACAAAGTCTATAGTTTATATTGGTGTTCACTTTTGATATTGTACACTAAAGTCCTGGTGCACGAATTTGTGCCCAGGTGGGGCCCATCGGGCTAGACTGGGGTGTGAGGGACTGCAGGCAGTTGATGGACCGGCCCGGCCCCCTGGTGAAACTCCAAGTTGAGGAGACAATTTGCATATTAGCCTTTTAAATATATATATATTTTATTGATTTTTTACAGAGAGGAAGAGAAGAGGGATAGAGAGTTAGAAACATCGATGAGAATCATCGATCAGCTGCCTCCTGCACACCCCCTCCTGGGGATGTGCCCACAACCAAGATACATGCCCTTGACCGGAATTGAACCTGGATCCCTTCAGTCTGCAGGCTAAGGCTCTATCCACTGAGCCAAACTGGTTTTGGCCTGCATATTAACCTTTTATTATATTGGATACTATGAGTTTGGGTAAAAGTATAATGACATGTATATACAATTATAATATCATACAGAATAGTTTCACTGCTCTAAACATTCTCTGTGCTCTGCCTGTTCATCCCTCCCATGTCTTCAACCTTTGGCAACCACTGATCCTTTTGCTGCCTTCATAGTTTTTTGTTTTTGTTTCCAGAATGGCATGTAATTGGAATAATAGAGTATATAGCTTTTTAAGATTGACTTTTTGTTCATAAACTCAGACTCCAGCATGGCAATTAACAGAGTTTATTGAGGAAAGTTAAATATGAGGTGTGTCTCGAACAGTGGGGACTTGAAGTCACTATATAGAATTAGAGAACCATGGAATGACAAAGCTGAAAAGAGTGATGGAGACAAACTTGTGCCAGCCTACCATTTTGCCAATGAAGATGCCAAGAGATGCTGAAAAACTGGAAAGCATCATGAATTCTTTACTTCTCAACTTAGAATAATATTAAAAACAAATAGATAATAAATAATTGGTCAATCTTTATTATTATTATTATTTTTTTATTCCTATACCAGGAACAACCTTGAGCAGTGCTCTTTAAAGGAGTAACTGTCGATAAACATGAATGATCCTAAAGAGTAGTTTGATTTCCTTCCTTAAGAAGCCCCATAAGCAGAGCAGTGACCATCATATTAGTGTTTGGAATTAGGTATTTGAATTACGGTTCCCAGTTGTGTTGGTTTTCCATGTTTAGCACTGAAAGTTCTGTGTCCCAGGGAACTCCTCCATCCTGGACGAACTGGGATGGTTGGTTGCTCTACATCGGACTCAGTTCTTTTCTTTCTTTCTTTTTTTAAAAATATATTTTATTGATTTTTTACAGAGAGGAAGGGAGAGAGATAGAGAGCTAGAAACGTTGATGAGAGATGTGCCCGCAACCAAGGTACATGCCCTTGACTGGAATCGAACCTGGGATGTTTCAGTCCGCAGACCGATGCTCTACCACTGAGCCAAACCGGATTCGGCTGGACTCAGTTCTTATTTCACAGCTTGACCAGTTCTTTTTTCACAACTTGAATTTATTGGATTCTTTTAGTTTTTAAACTGAGCTATAATTTGCATATAGTGAAGTATACAGATCTCAACTATATATATATATATATATATATATATATATATATATATATATTTACCTGTTTACATACCATGTAGTTAAGAAAAATACCACATTCACCATGAAACCTTTCTGGTATTTTGGAGTAAGAACACATTTATCTCTTTATTTTGTGTTCAGTCTGCTATTAAACAAATATGAGCTCTTAATTTCACTTGCTGATGTTTTGTAATTATAGAAGGTCCACATGATTCTTCATTATAGACTTGAGTTATGTACTGTTGAAATAATGCACCTTTTAAATCCACTTTGTTTATCTACCAATGTGGCATATTGATCATAGTTATTATGAAGTCTTTGTCTGCCAGTTACAAAAACATACATGAGACAGAATCTGTTGACTATTGTATCTCTTGATTATTGGTTACTTTTTCCTGCTGCTTTGCAGTTCCATTCATTTTTATTTTATTTTATGCTGGATATGGTGGATGATATGTTGTGGAGGTTTATCTACTTACAAATAATATTAGATTTTTATTTGCCAGGCAGTTAAATTACTGGTGGATCACTTTGGTCTTTCTGGGGTCTGGTTTAAGGTTTTCTTAGGGCAACTCCATTTCTGTTTTGTCCTTACTCCTAGAGTGTAGCCTTCATCGTATGGCAACTCTGATGGTGTTTCATTTATGCTAGAATGCAGCCTTTATATCACAGTTTCACCTGAATTCACCTGTGTTCATCAGTCTGTCTCTTCTGGCTGGGCCTAAACACCAGTTGTCTATCTCCAGAATGTGCACATTTCAGAACTCATCAGTCCTCACATGTGCAGTAGTATTCTCTGCCAGATCCCAGGAGTCTCACTTAAACTTGTAGGGTAGAGGTCACAAGCATTAAACTGGTATTTCCATGAAGACTTCTGGGGTTCCCTCTCTGAAGTTTTTCTTCTTGACAACCACTCCCCCCCCTCAAATCCTGGCCACTTTTCCACTCATAATCTCCAATCTCTGCCTCTTCCACCCAGTGAGACCGCCCCTCCTTGCTTCATTTCCTAGAAAGTGTTCCCAATAAGAGAGCCTGGGTCAGAATGGGGCTGTGGTAACGGGTTGGTCTAGGGATGCTTACTTCAGATAAGTACTCATATTTTCTTACAGATTTTGCTTAGATCTTCTGCCTTATTCACCTACAGGAACTTTTTAGAGCAAAGCTTACCTTTTTCCAATATTAGAGAATTATTGAAGGTTTATTATAGGTCAGACATATTTTCTATACTTTATGTCATATCCTCCATAACAAGCACATTAGAAATAGTAATAATAGTACTTATACAGTATTATCAAATGCCAGGCATTGTTCTGAGCATTTTATACATCTCATTTAATATTTTACATATTCATTTAATCCTCACATCAACCCTATAGATAGGTATTATTATTGTTTTACAAATGAGTAGTCTGAGAAACTAGACTAAGTAATGTCCTCTCCAAAATACACAATTAAAAAATATATATATTTTATTGATTTTTTACAGAGAGGAAGAGAGAGGAATAGAGAGTTAGAAACATTGATCATTGATCAGCTGCCTCTTGCACACCCCCCACTGGGGATGTGCCCGCAACCAAGGCACATGCCCTTGAACGGAATTGAACCCTGGACCCTTCATCCCGAAGGCCGACACTATAACCGGCCTCTGCAAAATACACAATTTATAAATGGGAGGAGCCCAGGTTTCAAACTATGGCAGTCTGGCTTCAGAAAATGTGCTTTCAACCACTTTGCTGTTGTTGGTGGTGTTTCATTCTACAGATGAGGAAACCGAGCCTTAGAGAGGTTAAGTGATCTCTTCAGTGTGTCATTGCCAGTAAGTAGCAGCACTAGGATTGGAACCAGGCCCCCAAACCCTTGCTCTTTCCTCTCTACTTCCTCCCAAAGAGAAAAAATTTTTTTTTCCCTTGTAGAACTTTATTTTAAAAGGATTTTGTGAGAATACTATTGTGGGGTCTTAAGAGGAGACTAGGCAGCTTCCTTTTGGTCTTAATAAGTACCTTCTCACGCACATGGTTTGCTGGCCATTTATGGCCAGGCACTGGGAGGGAGTTCTTTTTCCCATTGACACGTGTTATTTTTGAGCACCTCTCGGAATAACTTCTAGGGAGGGACATTGACAGCTCCTTGAATGCCAGTCTTGGGAGATGACAGCACTCCGCCTTGAGGTCCTCCACCTACACTGGGACAGGTGGTACTCAAGTGACACTTGCATCTTCTTTCAGGCATGAGCATGTATGCTCTCGGGTGTATCATACTTTGCCAGCCAGAAGCAGAGACCTTGAGAGGGTTTGAGACACCAACCATCTCTGTGATGTTCAGGCTGCCAGGTGTGGTGGTTGCTTTTTCAGGGAAGCCAGACCCAGGTACTCCCTTGTGCCATGCAGGGCGTTCACACATGATCCTGGAGCGCCATGGAGGCTGCATCCCCCGAGGAAGCCGCCCAGAACCTGTGTGTCTCACCTGGTCTCTGACACTGACCACCCTCTTTTGCAGTATGAAGGCTGCTGGCATCGGGTTCATCATTGTTATCGACAGACGAAGGGACAAGTGGAGCTCCATAAAAGCATCCTTGACACGAATAGCTGTAAATATTTATGTTTGTGCTTTTTTTTTTTTTTAAAGTAATTTATGTAGTCTATCCAATTATTTCATATCAAAGTCACAGGGAAAAGGTGGTTATTTTATGCCAGATTTTGGGAAGGTCTTTGTTATGTCACACCCTATCCCTTCTGCCACCTGAAGGTCACTGCAGAGAATTCCTTTGCATGTCAAAGGCTTCCTGAGTCTCTCTACTTCTTTCTCTGGTCACTGAATAGGGATAGGTAGAGAATGCTGGGAAGTTAATGCCCCAGGAGTGACCTACAGCTATTGCGTCATAGAAGTTGGTGGATAAATTCCCCAGCTTAAGCGGGAGACGTCTGAGGTATATTCCATATAGTATTTTAGAGGCTCCCAGCCTTAAAAAAACAAAAACAAAAACAAACAAAACAAAACAAAACAAAAAAACCCACAAACATTTTTATTGATTTTTAGAGAGTGAGAAAGGGAGAGAGACAGAGAGAGGAACACCAATGTGAGAACAAAACATCTATCTACTTGCAACCCAGGCATATGCCCTGACCCAGAATCAAACCAGCAACCTTTTGGTGCATGGGGATGACACTCAACCAACTGGGCCACACCAGCCAGGGCCTCCACAGCAATCCCTGTTTTGATCTATTGGCTCTCTAGCCATCACTGTCTCACCCCTCACCAACTTCTTCATATGCTGCCTGGGATCACTTCCTCACTAAACTCTTTTTTTTTTTTTTTTTTTTTTTTTTTTTACAGGGAGGAAGAGAGAGGGAAAGAGAGTTAAAAACATCGATGAGAGAGAATCATCAATCAACTGCCTCTTGCACACCCCCTACTGGGGATGTGCTCAAACCAAGGTACATGCCCTTGACTTTCAGTCCGGAGGCTGATGCTCTATCCACTGAACCAAACCGGTTTCGGCCTCACTAAACTCTTTATACCCCAATCCTGTCTTAGAGTTTACTTTAGGGTCACCCACTTTAAAACAGTCTTCTTTTCAGTATTTAAATTATTTTTTCACATATTAGAAAGACACAAGCTAAACCAGACAAAATGATATTTACTATGTAGTTTGATTAAAGGTTGGCTTACTTTGGGCATTAAATTGCACAACCTTGGATGGGATTCCTTTTGATCTGATTAAAAAAAAAAAGCCTGATTTTTATCCCTGCTTGTTGCCTTTTAGCAAGTAGCTGTATCCTTTCTCTGTAGGGACCTCAGACCAGAGAACTCAGTCAGATGGGCAGGCAAAGACACCTCAGGGCAAACATATCAGCATTTCTACCAAAGCATGGACTCCCTGGGGGCAGTTGGGACTGGCTGAGGAGGATGGGATATGGCAGGGTGGTAATGTGTGTATAGAGGCTCAGACAGGAGAGGGACATTTGAATCTCACTTGTGCCTGCGTGCAGAGGCAGTCACACACACAGATCTGCACACATACAGAGTTTCCCTCAGATCCCTTTAGAGCCTCAGCCATACACAAATGAGCCTCAGCTCATTTCCTGCCATGACATAACAAAATGCAAGGTTCCGTTTAGGATGTTGCATTTCAAACATGGGAGAAGGGAAGTCTCCCTTCTTTTGTGCATGGATTGTTTGACCCCTTTGGTTTAGTTTTGGTTACGGGATTTTGGGGGGAGATAACTACAATGATGGTTGACAACGGGAAGATTTGGACACTTGACAGTGCCCATAGCTATTCCAGAGGTCTGACCTCTGGGGAGTTCTGGCTTCCCAGGGTCCATAGAAGATACCTGATTAATCTAATACTTGAGACTAATTTGTCCAAGAATTACATCGATCACGTATGCATAGAAGATACTCTAATGCGGGTTCCCTGGCTACCAATCAGAATCTTTTCATGTACTCATGGAAAATACAGATACCTGGTCTTCATTTAAGTCTTAAGGAATCAAAATATTCCAGGGAAAAGACCAGATTTTTTCCCCCCTAACAAACACCATGGGAAGTTTCTTTTGGGAACCATTGGAAGAATAGAAAGCCATGAGAAAAGGAAGAGTTGGATTTCTAACTTGGCCACTAAGTTATATGAATCTGAGTTATCTCATTTCTCAGGACCTCACCTCAAGATGAAGACAATCTTGAGGTGAGGTCTTTGCTGATAGCAAGACTTCCTGAAAGCAACATAGCAATAATTTGCATCAGAAACCCTAAAATACTAAGCCTTTTACTCAGTAATTCTCCCAGGAAGCCATCTTAAGAAAATGTTCCAAAATATGTGTACAGATGTTCATTTCAGTGTTATTTTAATAGCAAAAATATGGACAAGCCTAAAACACTAGCTATAAGTAATAGTTAAATAAATTGTGCACCCATGAAAATATTTCTAAATAATTTTTAAGCATAAAAGCTCATATTTAGTGAAAAGGGTAGGTTACAAAATATTTCTATAATATGAATTTAACTATGATAAAAATAGTTAAGCAGAGAAAATAGCTTATAAGTAATAGGATTAAAATATTAAGTATGGCTATGAGATCATAAGTGGTTTTCTTTTTCTAATGTATAATTTTATTTACCAATTTTCAATAAAGAGTATGAATTGTTTTTTATAATCAGAAACATTTTTTGTGTGTTTCATTTAGTTTGGTTTTTATGGAGTGGTTTGGTTTATCTGACCTCTAAGATGTCTTTAGCTCTGAAATGTGAAATATATTCAAATTCTTTGGCATCCATGGTGTCCACTTTAACTTTGTTATTTGTGATCTTAGGCAAGAGGAGTCCAATGGATGTGATATTTGCCCTGACATTTTCATGACCCTTCCAGGTAGCATTCCCTGGAAACTTGCAGCTCATATTCATCCTTCGTCCATCTCGCTTTATCCAGAGGACAATCACTGACATTGGGATTAAATACTATCAAGAAGAATTTAAAATGAAAGTACCGGTGAGCATGACCTTTTATCTTGTCTTCATTTAGTTGGGGCAAGTGGAAAAGATGACATTGGAGCTGTTTATAAAATATATATATATATTATTTCAGAGAAAGAGAGAGAGATAGTAATATCAATGAGGAGAGAGAATCATTGATTGGCTGCCTCCTACAGGCTCTACACTGAAGATGGAACCCATAACCTGGGTATGTTCCCTGACAGGGAATTGAACTGTGACCTTCTGTTTCATAGGTCAACGCTCAACCCCTCAGCCACACTAGCCAAGCTGAAGCTGGTTTTTTAAAATGGTAGGACTCCAAAAGTAGAGAGAGTGAGAAGGACAGCTGGGCAGAGGAACCAGTATGTGTAAGGACTTGGAGAAAGGAAGTACACACTTTCTGTGAAGTTCAGGGGGAAACCCCAATTGTTTCCCCCTGAACATATATATATATATGATAGTCTTTTGAAAGAAAATGTAGAATAAATGAAATAGATTTTACATATAAGGATAAGGGACTGGGTTTTATCCAGTAGGCAATGGGGATCCAATGAAGGTTTTTGAGTTGAGTGACTCGGGTAAATGGTACTGGAGTCACGTAACTCTGAAGGTGGGTGTCTAAGACTATAGAAGGAGATCGAAGGGTGGAGGGAAATTGTAGTATTATAGTATAGGTGAAAGAAAGAAAGGATCTAAAATATGGGGGTGACATAAATACAGACAACTGTAGAGTGAAAATAAAACCAACATTGTGGCACTTACAAAAGGAAATAAAACTAAAGATTTTATCTATAACTTTGGCAGAGATGTTGGGGAAACAGCACTTTCATACTTTGCTGATAGAAATGAAGTTGGTAATAATGAATATGAAGGACTAATTGGCAGTATTTATCAAAAATTACCTTGTAAACACTCTTTGACCCACCTATAAAAGTTATTATACAGATACTTTCATACTTGTGCACAAAGCTACAGATATAATGATGTTCATTACTAAATTGTTTGTAAGTAAGTAATTGGAAACAGCTTAATGCCAAACAACATGGACTGATTAAATAAATTATAGTCTGCCCAATTGGTTAAATACTTTGCAGCTATTGAAAGTAGTGAGGTATGGTACAAGCACAGTGGAAACAGTTGGCAGTTCCTTATTAAGTTAAACATATACTTATGACCCACCCAAGAGAAATGAAAAAAATAGAATGTCCATTAGCAGGTGAATGAATAAAGAAATTGTGACATAGAAAGGTAAGTACTGCCGAGACCAGTTTGGCTCAATGGATAGAGCGTCAGCTTGGGGACTGAAGGGGCCCGGGTTCGATTCTGGTCAAGGGCGTGTACCTTGGTTGCGGGCATATTCCCAGTAGGGGGTGTGCAAGAGGCAGCTGATCGATGACTCTCTCTCATCGATGTTTCTAACTCTCTCTCTCCCTTCTTCTCTGTACAAAATCAATAAAATATATTTTTTTTAAAAAAAAGAAAGGTAAGTACTGTAAGATATGTGGAGTCAAAAAACAAAATAAATGAATAAACAAACAAAAAAACACAGAAAACAGAAACTGACTCATAGATACAGAGAATAAACTGATGCCATAGGCGTGGGAGTGAGGCTGTCCGTGAACAAGGTGAAGGGGAATAAGATGTACAACCTTCCAGCTACTAAATAAACAAGTTATGGGGCTACCATGTGTATAGCACAGGAAAATAGTCAAAAATATCATAATAACTTTGGTGACAGATGGTTACTAGACTTATTGTGGTGATCACATTGTAAGTTATATTACTAATCACTATGTTGTGCATCTGAAACCAATATATTGCATGTCAACTGTACTTTAACAAAAAATAAAGCCTTAGCCTCTTTGGTTCAGTGGATAGAGCATTGGCCTGCGGACTGAGTGGTCCCAAGTTCGATTCCAGTCAAGGGCACAAGCCTTGGTTGTGGGCTTGAACCCCAGTAGGGGGTGTGCAGGAGGCAGCCAATCAATGATTCCCTCTTATCATTGATCATTTATGTTTCTCTCTCTCTCTCTTCTTTCCTCTTGAAATCAATAAAAATATATTTTAAAAATAAAAATAAATTAAAAAAGAAAGTGTGGCATATTCATATAATGAAATAGCATTAAGTGATAAAAGGGAGTAAAGTACTGATACATGCAACAGTAATGAGTGAATCTCAAAAATATTCCCTTGAGAGAAAGAAGTTAGACATTAGCAAATACATACTCTGTGATTCATTTTATATAAATGAATGACTATAAAGTTCAAGAAGAGGCAAACTAAGCTATGGTAGATAGAAAATCAAACAGTGGCTGCTGTTAGGGTATGGAAAGTAGAGATTGATTAGAAGAAGGTGTTAGGGAACTTTCTGGGAAAATGTACCATATCTTGACTGGATGGTGTTACATGTGTGTTTACATTTGTCAAAACTAATTTAACTATACCTTTAAAACCTGTACATTTAAAAATGTAACTGATATATCAATTGAAAAATGTAAAAACAAAAATAGAAAAATAAATAAGATAAATCTACAGTGTTGTAAAAAAAATTCTAATATATATTTTTTGTTTAGTTGGAAATAATTTCAAACTCATGAAAACAACTTTAAGAATAAGAATAGTGCAAAGAATATTTCATGATCTTTACCCAGATTCATTTACCTGGTAGCATTTTAATCCCCATTTGCTTTATTAGTTATTATTTGCTTCTCTATATACATTATTTTATAGATATGTACATCTCTTTATATATAGTACATATATTATGTTTTTTTAAAATATATTTTTATTGATTTCAGAGAGAAGGGAGAGGGAGAGAGAAATAGAAACATCAATGCTGAGAATCATTGGTTGGCTCTGTCCTGCACACCCCCTGCTGAGGATTGAGCCCACAACCCTGGCATGTGCCCTGAGAGGGAATCAAACCATGACCTCCTGGTTCATAGGTTGAAGCTAAACCACTGAGCCATGCCAGCCAGGCCATATTATATTATGTTAATATGTCAGACATGCATTACATTAATATATAATATGTTAATACTATGTAATATAATATATGATATAATACATACATAATATATTTATCTATATACTATAAATTATGTATTACATATATTATGTCGAGAGGTAAATATACATATAACAATCTATACATACATATATGTAGTGATTGAAAAAAATGTAATGCCCCAAAACAAGGAATTTGAACTAAGCATTTGACCAAATGTCATATGTGTTTGTTTCCCTGGTTGTGTATAAAACACACCTCTCCATGTGATAATATGTACACAGATACTTGTACATATGTGATTTATGTCCTGCTTCTCACATGGTACATCTATTAACTAAGGAGAGAATGAACACCTGCTTTATCTTGATACTATGTCTTTTTAGCTACTTCTGTTTGTGGTAATATATTGATTCCCTATCCATCATACTTTTAATTTTAAACTAAAATCAACTTTTTAGAAAACTCTTAGTGAGCTAAATTATTGGCATATTTAGTAGGGTGTTTTTTTTAATGCAAAAATTTATTTTATAAGATAAACTCACAGAGAAGATTGCATTCCCCTAATAGCTCTGCTGGGCCACAGAATCCAGAGTCATAGGTTACCATGCTGATGGACTCAACCTTCAAATTATATTTTGTTCTTTTTATGAGTTCAAACTGTTGTTTTCTTTACTTTGTTAGTGAAACATGATTGTGATATTAGCACTTTACTTTGTTGCATCCTGTCTTCTCTTATTATAACCCTAGAGGGCCGGTGCATGAAATTTGTGCACAAGCAGGGTCCCTAGGCCTGGCCTGAGATCAGGGCTAATCTGGGGGGTGACCAGCAAGCAATTGGGGGGGGGGTGCTGACACCCGCCTTAGCTGGCCTGGGGCCTGTGGACTGGGGGCAGCTCCTGCATTAAGCATATGCCCCCTAATGGTCAGTGTGCATCATAGCAACTGGTCGTTCTGCCAGTTGCTCCACTGTTTGGTCAATTTGCATATTAGGCTTTTATTATATAGGATCTCCCTGCTCATTTCTAGTGAGATAATAGATATATTTTCACAGGTTGAGTGAGGGGGAAGGAGTTCATTTTGCTGATTCGTACAAGAACCAGGTGGACCGGGATATAATAGTAAAGTAACTTAGCCTCGCTGTTCCTTTAGCCAAGGAGAGGGTTGCTCTGAAATAGCAAAGGGTTTCTGAGAGCCAGTTGCTGGCTCCTATCTATTCTAGACAGCTATCTTTATAGCATTCTGAGAAAATTATGTGAAGTGGCTAAGGCTATGGCCATGCAAATTGGTTTCTTAACATGGATTGTGTGACAGAATACAGGAAAGGCTTCTTTCATAATGATAAGATGATAATTCTCCCTGAAAGAACAGCTTTAAGCAATTATAGATAAGAGCATAAATGTATCCTGAAAAGGAATAGATAGGACATTCTTAATCTATAGCAACTGTTCTAAGAATGTACATGCTGGATATGGTACAGTAAACCTGCTGGTGCCCAGGAGAAACTGAGAATGAGCTTGAAGGCGGAAGTTTACAGGCCTCAGGACTTCCTCATGTCACCCAAGTCCCACAGGGAAAGCACAGGTTTTGCTTAGAAGACAGAAACAGGATGAAGGTGAAAACCTAGATCAGAGTCTTTATTGGGGTTTCCTTGGTAAAGATGAGAAAGTAGAGTCCTGCCAGTAAGGTGGCATGGAAGACCTGGGCCTGGCATGATAGGTTTCTGAAACTCCAGGCTGTGGGGCAAAGTTATTTCTGCCCAGTACGATGTTGCATAATGCTATTAAAAAAAATTCCAGTATTACCAAAGCTGCTACTGTTCTGAGAAGAAAAAATTATTTTCACTTGATAGTTTCCTGTTATGTGTCCTATAATTTTGAATTATAGAAAGACTAAAAGTCTTTTTGAAACTCCAAAAAGTGGTTTAAATTTTTTAGGAAAGAAAGACACAGATGGATTCACATTGTTTTTCTGTTTTCTTTTTCTCATATTATAAAAATATTTTTTTTTAATTCCCCAACTCTTTTTAGAAATGAAGGAGAAAGTCCTGGGGGCAGTGAGGTTAACAGAGTGCTCTGTGCAGTCATATCCCACAAAACCTTAGTTTCATCTTAGGGATGTCATGCTTGCTATTTTATCCCTCTGAGTCTGGCATTTATTAGAAGTTCAATGCTATTTATTGGGTGAATACGTCAGTTTTGTTTTTACCTATAGACTTAGGCTCTAACTTAATATTATTTTCATTCCAAAGTGGACTTATCACTTGACTAATTATGATATGATAATAGAAGAAAACCTATATTCTTTTTTTAATTTTTATTTATTTGTTTATATTTTTTTGACTTTTTTTGCCCCCCTACCTCCCTCCCATACATACCCTCCCTCCCCAGAGTTTTATGTCTATTGGTTGTACTTATATGCATGTATACAAGTCCTTCGGTTGATCTATTATCTCCCCCAGATCTCCCTCCCCTCCCCACTGTAATATGACAGTCTGCTTGTTGCTTTACTGTCTCTATATCAATCTTTTGGTTCATCAGTTTATAATGTTCTTTATTATCCATAAATGAGTGAGGTCATGTGGTGTTTCTCTTTCATTGATTGGTTTATTTCACTCAGCATGATGTTCTCCAATTCCATCCAGGTTGCTGCAAATGATGAGAATTCCTTCTTTTTTATTGCAGCATAGTATTCCATTGTGTAAATGTACCATAGTTTTTGATCCAATCATCTGCTGATGGGCACCTAGGTTGTTTCCAAATTCTGGCTATTGTAGATTGTGCTGCTATGAACATAGGGGTGCATATATCCTTTCTGATTGGTGTTTCTAGTTTCTTGGGATATATTCCTAGGAGTGGGATTACTGGGTCAAATGGGAGTTCCATTTTCAGTTTTTTGAGAAAACTTCGCCTATATTCTTTTTAAAGATTTTATTTTTACTGATTTCAGAGAGAGGAAGGTAGAGGGAGAGACAGCGAGAGAAACATCAATCAAGTGTCTCCTGTATACACCCCGACTGGGGATCAAACCCACAACCTGGGCATGTGCCCTGATGAGAATCCAGATGATGACATTTCCATGCACAGGATGGCATTCAACCCACTGAGACACACCAGGCAGGGTGAAAGCCTGTATTCTTTTTAAAAAAATATATTTTATTGATTTTTTTTATAGAGAGGAAAGGAGAGGGATAGAGAGTTAGAAACATCAATGAGAGAGAATCATTGATCACTGCCTCTTGCACACCTTCTACTGGGGATGTGCCCGCAACCCACGTATATGCCCTTGACCAGAATCAAACCCAGGATCTTTCAGTCCGCAGGCTGACGCTCTATCCACTGAGCCAAACTGGTTTTGGCAGAAAGCCTGTATTCTTATGTTATCTGACCAAGAATCAATTTTCAAAATAATCAACAAGGAGTGAAGAAATATAAGGTCATTAGGTAAAGGCATCAGAGGACACATTTCAGAGATAGGAAGGAGGGGTCCATGCTTCTGATCAGGAGTGACTAGGAGGTGTGGTGTGTTGCCTGAGGCAGAGAGCCAGACCCCTGCCTGGGGGCAATTTGGATGGTGTCACCTTCCTCTAGATGTGTGGGCATTCACTCATGGGTGTGTTCATCAGCAGGATTGTTAATTTATGAAAACCCACTCCCTGTTACCTCCCGATCTCCTTCAGAATGTTGGGGGTACATCAACATTCTTCATGGGAGTGCATCAGTGTAGTGAATCTTCTCAATACACACTCCTCAGTTGGTCCCTGTTTCCTAATTTTATTTTGATATTCACCAGCTCACCCTTTATGGGAGTTCTCATCACAGATGTTTAGGTCTCAGTACAGCACCTGATCTCGGTGGCTAAAGAGGAGACCTTAACCTAAGAACTTTGGGAAAAAATTCACTTCAAGCAAGACCTGACTTCTAGGCAGCTTAGAACGAAGCTCCCTGATCCAAGTCGCTGTTTAGTCACAGACTATTCAACACTTTGGCGTTCTTCTCTCAAAGGGGGAAAGTGGAAAGGCACTTTGTCTGCTGGTCATAACAACCATTTTGGATATACATCTCTGAGAAGGCAGAGTTGACGTACTCTACCTAACAGTAGAATCCAGATGAGCTACTATTTAATCATCTGTGAGGAATATATTAATTTGTTTCCTCTTATAGATCGTTATGTTAAATTCTGTCTCTGACCTTCAAGGCTACATTGACAAAAGCCAACTGACAGAGGACTTAGGGGGAACTCTGGAATATCGCCACAGCCAGTGGATCAATCATCGAACGGTGAGTACCAACTTGTGTGCCCTTTTCAGCGTTTCTCCCTGTTTTCCCGAAGACAGGGCTGTTTAAGATCAGCTGTTCGGAGGTCATTGCCTATGACTACCTACCACTGGGGAGGTTGGGTTTTCCAAGCCACAGGTTGGGAGAAAAGTAGGGTGAAGGAAAAAGGCTGGAATTTCTCCTGCTGACTTCCTTCACCTCACCTCATTGTCTGGCATGGGAGTCTCCGGGACTCAACTTAGAATGCACCTGGGGAATTTTCAAAGAATCAATACCTTCTACAACCCAGAGAAATTTAAGATATTCCTCTAATGGCAGAATAGGGCCTGTGAATGGAAGGGACACAGGACAAGGTAAATTTTTGTAAAGGAAAAGAGAGAGGAAAAGGCCCCTAGTCTCTCCCCACATGTGACAGAAATGACTCAGTTAAAGGTCATGAGAGGCAGCCTGGCTGTGTGTGTGCAGGGGGTGGGGACAATAGAGAGCCATGTGGGGGCTAGAGAGAAGGAAGGGTTTATTACAGGAGGGGTGAGTGGTCCTGCCCTTTGTAGCATTTTATCTAGTGTAGATCCTGAGTCAGATTTAATGTTACATGTTTTGTTCTTTTTTAAAATATATTTTCATTGATTTTAGAGAGGAAGGGAGAGGGAGAGAGAGATAGAAACATCAATGATGAGAGAGTATCATTGATCGGCTGCCTCCTGCATGCTCCCAACCGGGGATTGAGCCCAAAACCCAGGCATGTGCCCTTGACCAGAATCGAACCCGGAATCCACAGGCCAATGCTCCATCCACTGAGCCAAACTGGCTAGGGCTAATGTTACATGTTCTTAAGGTAACAAACAGAATTCTGAAATTGAAAGAGCTTACCTTGTTTGAATACTGCCTGCCTTCCTTTTTTACTGCCCAAGTAATAAGATTTTGAGCAATTCATTTGGCCTGTTGAAATTCCCTTTTCTATAAAACGGAGATAAAATACCTTCCACTCTGGATTATTGAGCTGGTAGACAAATGTAGAGCCCTGAGTACCCGTGTTTCCCCGAAAATAAGGCATCCTCCGAAAATAAGACCTAGCGCATCTTTGGGAGCAAAAATTAATATAAGACACTGTCTTATTTTAGGGGAAACAGGGTATCATACTTGGTCTTGTGTAGGTACTCAGGAAGTGGTAGCTAATTCTACTGTCCTTCCATTGATAAAGCGCATTGCGAATGTTAATCCTGCCACACTGTTATGATTGTCTGACCTTCCAGGCCATCGAAAACTTTGCCTTGGCATTGAAGACCACTGCCCAGATGCTTCAGGTGTTCGGGGCCCGCCTGGGCGCGACAGAGCTGCCCAGAGGTGTGCCGTGCACCGCAGAGCTGCTCACGTCCCACACAAAGCAGCGGGACAAGCTGCAGGTGAGCGGTCAGTGGCCTCTCACAGCCCAGCCTCTGTGCCAGCAGAGGGTCAGCCTCCTGGGCAGAGCTGGGAGCAAGATTAAGTTCTCTTCTTCCCTCTTCTCCTGTGACCTGGAAGCCACCGAGCATCTTCAGCCTTTGGGGTGGGCGGTATGTGAAGAGAAAACCTCTTTGAGACTGGATGGTTAAGGTGACCAGACGTCCTGCTTTTGGCAGGACAGACCCGATTTTTAACAATTTGTCCCACGCGGGACGCAGGATAAATTGTTAAAAATCAGGACGTCTGGTCACCTTATGGATGGTGGCATGTAAAAGGACTGCAGTTAATACCTGTGAGAAGCATCAAATGTAGAGCACTCATCAAATGCAGGGAAACTCATTCCAGCTTTGTGCTGGCGAGATGAGGTGGGTGAGCATCCCTTCGAGGGCAGCTCAGGACAGAGCAAGATGCAAGAGGCTGAAAACGCAGTGAGAGCAGGAGTCAGCTTTTGAAGCATAAGCTTTTCTGGGGCTGTTGTGAAATCTGAGGCTGCCTACCAAGCTGACATATTGCTTCACTTTTCCAGGGATCTGTCTTTTTTATGTGGGTATGAACTTGAGGAATAGGACTAGGGAAAATGCTCTGAACTGGGTTTAAGGAGAGGCACCTATTAAGGGATTCACACACAAAAAAACAAATACGCCAGAACTGTTTTTATGAGTTGCTGACGAGGGAGCTTAGCAGGTTCTTTCGTGCAGCTAAGGGAAGTCTTCATGGATGGGTGTCAAGCCACTTTCTGCCTCCAGAAACACAAACAGACCGAATATGGAATCTGTTATTTCATAGAAGACCAGAACTCAAGTGGGCAGCGAACTGAGGATTAGCGGGTTGAGACAGCTAGGCATTGCTTGTTTTCCTGCTGCACGGAGCTTGGGAAGACCTAACCCCAAATCTGCAAACATGCTTTGCTAAGTGATTGATTTATTTGCTCATTTATTTAACATTTATCGACTACCCCACACTACATGCCAGGAAAACAAAGATTGCAAACTCAAAGAACACATAGTTTAGTTAGGGGAGTCTCAAAGTCTCATGAATGAGGCAAATGAATTCTTCCATGTGTCAGGAGCACTGTTTAATTCTCTTTGTAAGGAGGTGGCTAGCAAAAAAAAAAAGAGTTCAAAATCTATCCCCAAGATGACTCTGAGTCACCAAAAGATCTGGCTTGGAACTGTGAAAGCCGGAAGGCATCCTGGAAGCATTTAGATAATTTCCCCTAAAAATATCCCTTAAACGTTTGACCTTTTTCTTTGCCCAAGTTCACCTCCCATGATTCTTGGAAGAGATGGTAGGGGTGCAGAGGTCAGGTCTGGGGTACCTCTGTGAAGTCTGCCAGAAAAGGGTTGGTGGTCCCAACCCACAGTGCATAGACTCGGGGAACCTCCAGAACAATCAGCCACCCTGTTTCCCCGAAAATAAGACAGTGTCTTATATTAATTTTTGCTCCTAAAGATGCGCTAGGTCTTATTTTCAGGGGATGTCTGAAGAAGAAGAATACGGTACACATTTATTGTTAAATGAAAATAAAGGAAATTTATTACCTGTATACGGTATGGTAGTATGATAGTTGTCAACACAAACTGAATCCTACAGTATCAAGAATTTACTCATTTATTCAATGACAATCATGTCATCATCTGGAACATCATCATAACAATCCAATTCCTGAATTTCCTGGTGAATTTCTTGTGACTCCATTTCTTTCAGAATCAGTGGACCAAATCTCTCATGTTTAGCCTGAGAGGTGGGGGGAAGGCTTATTTTCGGGGGGATGCCTTATATTTCACTCAGAAGGAAACCTGTAAGTAGGTCTTATTTTCGGAGGATGTCTTATTTTCGGGGAAACATGATAGTATTCCTGTGTGATGTTGAGAATGCGGAGCATGGCAGGAAGGGAGCAGAGCCCTGGGCCTGGGCTCATGAGCAAGTGTGCTCTCTGCCTCCATCCAAGGATGGTTTGGAGAGGTTGTAGAAACAAACATTGAGATGACAATGTGGTCAATCTGGGAGGTCTTTGGGGAAAAGGTAAAACCTTTTTGATTTTAGACGAGGACAGGTATCTGAGGGGTGAAATCAGCTAGGGAGGTCCTGCTGCTGTATGTGCAATGAGGGTTCCCGGGAAAGGCAGACGGATGGGTGTTCCACCATGTCTACACAGGCGAAGCGGTGCACAGAGGGAAAGGGGAGGGAAAGAACCACTCTCCAAGATTAAATAAGGCCACTTCCTTGGGCATGGCGACAAGCTGTTGTTGGTATTAAAACACAACTCTGCACAAAGAAGGCTAAAACTTCTCTCTGATTATGTGGTGGGATAACTTTTTGTAGATCCACATAATTTGCAGTGTTGTCTGACAATGGTAAGAAATTACTTCATACTCCATCTTATCTCAATTTGGTTAAACACCCATGTCTAACCAATAAAACAAAAGAAAGGAATTTAGGAGATTCCACTTTTAGTAAGAAAGTAAATGCAAAGTCTCACTTTTGTTCAGAGATGACAATTCCATTACCAAAATAACAAATAGTTGAGAAAACAACCAGAATTTCATAGCCTCTGGAAATAATCTAATAGTTTTAGGAGTTTTTAAGAGTCCTTGTCCGAAACCGGTTTGGCTCAGTGGATAGACCGTCAGTCTGCAGACTGGAAGGTCTCAGGTTCGATTCCCGTCAGGGGCATGTATATTGGTTGTGGGCACATCCCCAGTGGGGGTTGTGCGGGAGGGGGGGGAGCTGCTCGATGTTTCTCTAATCATTGATGTCTCTTTCTCTCTGTCCCTCTCCCTTACTCTCTGTAGAAAATCAATAAAATATATTCAAACAAACAAACAAACAAACAAACAAAAAGAGTCCTTGGTTCAGGCATTAACCTGCAGCCTGCCTGGTGCCTGGGCACTGGCCTCCCCCTGGGACCCCAATCTGCATGAATTCACAGAGACACATGAATGGATATCATCACTAATGGTATTGGAACAGTGTATCTCTCTTCCAATCTCCCCTGGCAATATGCCTCTTCTTTGCTGGGCCTCTCCACGTTCCCTCCCAATTCTGCATCATGCACATGCACCCCTACAGACTATATATATATTTCTAATAATGGCTGATGCCAGAATACTGCTGGAATGCTAAAGCTCAGGGACAGTTAAGAGTGAGAAAAGATGCCAGGATACTGAGGGTGCTTTAGTGGGTAAGAAGAGGAGGGAAAAGCTATGAGTACTACGAATGAGTGCTTCCCCCACTCCCAGGCTTATCTTGTCTATTCACCTGTAACCTGGTTCCTTTTAGACTATTATTAATTCATCCAACCTACAAATATTTCAAATATTCCATGAACATTGGTGAGATAAGAAGAAACGAGGGCTGATACTTAGAATGGAAAAGAAGGGATATATCCAGTCCTCAGGCAGAAATACCAGCCAAGTGGCCACCTTGAGGTATTACCTGCAGTGGACAGAGCCACAGCGGGGCTAGATCAGAGAAACCAAATCTGTCATGAGGCTGAGAGTGGATGAATACTGGAATGGGGTGGGAGACAAGGAGCAAAGGCATGCAGTTGAGAGTGCCGGACATCTTTGTGACCCGAGTGAAGAGTGTAAAACTCCTCCCACAGAGAATAAGCTGGAGGCTGTGTGAAGGCTGGAGGTGGCCAGGCCTGGAGGAAGAGTCAGTGTTTATGTGCATAGGTGTGACTGTTCCGTAACCATGGGACTTTCACTCTCAGCATACCAGACCAGCATCCTGTATGACCCAGGAATCAAAACCAGAACTCCTGGGAGCAATGTTCTAGGCCAGGCTGCACCTCTTTTGCCTTGCCCCATGGTTAATGCTCAGGGCATTGAGACACCTGCACTGAGAGCAGAGGACAAGAGCTGTTGTGTTTGGAAGGAGATAGCCTGATGCTTCCCCAGTTGCAAAGCCCTAAGTCTCCGTGTACAAAGAGCAGAATAGAGTTGCCTTGGAAGTATGAATCTTTCCACGTCAAACTGAAATTGCCATCCACCTCTGCCAAGCTTTTTGGAAGGCAGCCATGCTAACCACCATATCACCAATGCTCCGTGCCAAGCTTTCTGGAAGTAGGTGGAAGGAAGCAAGTATTCATTGATGAGACCAAATGAAGTTTGTTCGTTTGCTTTTTCTTTTTTTCCTGTTAATTAGCAATTGTTGCATTATTATTGCGTGACAGTTCCCAACATTTAACGTTCAATACCTGCCATTTTCTTGTTTCTGGCCACTGTTTTGGATTAGAATAGTTTTTTATTAGCTAATTTTGCTTTTAATTTACAACAGCTTGAGATACACACAAAATTTAACAGTTGTAGCTTTTGGAGAGGGGAAGTAGATGGGCTATGGACAAAAAACTAGCTTTCCCCCCATATGTATCCTTTTGTATGTTTTTAATTTTGTCACATGTAGTATTAGCCATTATCAATAAATCAATTAATAGGCAGCTTTAATTGTTAGCATTTAATTCCTTGGGTGAAAGGTATACCATTTTCCATACTCCAAATCGACCAAGAATTTTTCCAATTAGTTTCTTACAAGAGAGACTATATTTCTCTTTCTTTAGGATGAGCTAAAATTACTTGGAAAGCAAGGGGCCACCTTGCTGTCATGTATTCAAGAACCAAGAACCAAAAGTCCCATCAGGAAGCTAAATCTCAATCAACTTGAGAATGTGGCTACCATGGAAAGGTGAGTGAAGGTGGAATATACTTTTTTAGGAGAGAATAGAATTAGATTATCTGAAATAACCAAGGACAGACTAGAACAGCTACTCTTGGGTCTTGGTAGGGTCAAGAAAAAATATTAAAAGCAACAATGGGAAACTATGGTACCCATCTGACACCCAGCTATAGAGATATTTTTATGAGAATGCCATCCCATCCTCTTATGAAATGCTGTCATCCCAAGATTTCAAGGGAGATGGTAATATTGATTGAGTTTCATTTCCTAATTACAGTTTGTCTGGGTGATGCGCTTTGTCAAAGAAAAAGCACAAAAATAAGGTTACTTGGGGCATGATCCAAGCACAGCCGCTGAAGCAAAGTTTCTGCCTGGCAGGGAAGGTGTCCTGGTAGAAAAATGGAAGGTATGGGATGCCATGGGACCATGAGAAAGTCATAGGTGACACAGACTTTCATAATAAGGACATTACCACAATTTAAAACACTGACTAAAGACATAGATGTTAGCTACACAAACCTACACAGACTCCTGTGGAAATGAGAGTTAACCACAATGTCGCTTTCTCATTATTTCTTGACAGGCTACTAGTTCAGTTGGATGAAACAGAAAAAGCCTTTCGTCAATTTTGGTCCAAGCATCACCTGAAGCTTAGTCAATGCCTACAACTACAGCACTTTGAGCACAATTTTTGTGAGGTGTTCTTTTCTTGTTTCATAGAACTTCCGTTTATGGTTCGGTGACTCCAGTTCTCTCTTCTGCCTTGAACTCTGTGTATTGGGGTTTCTCTCTCCCCGCCCCCCCCCCCCCCCCACTATGCCAGCCCCCTCCTTCCTCTCAGACATCCTCTTCTCACTTTTTCAGTGGGATACTAATGTTCTAACATCCAGTTTTTCTGTTGGCATCCATGGTATTTCAGTGGCGGTTTATCTTCCTTTCTCCTTGATAATCTGTTGAATGTAGCTTTTCTATTCCATCTACATGTGTCTCAGCAATCCCACCCCACCCCTACTTCATCTGAAAGCTAATGAGCTGTATAACCATTGGTCCTGAATCCTTTTAGGACTTTTGAATTTTCTTAGAGTACAGCAAACCCCTACCTCCAGGTAGGTGCTCATTGGCTTACTTCTGGACTGTTCTAACGTGTCTTGTAGGTTAAGCTTGCCCTGGACAACTTGTTGGCAGAGCAAGCAGAATTTACAGACATTGGAGACAGTGTGATGCATGTGGAGCGACTTCTTGAGGAACACAAACAACTGGAAAGAAAAGGCCAGGTTTGTTTTTGTTTTTTTGCCCTTTTTGTGAACTGGAAAGGTAGTCACTGTGGACAGTGACACATATGCCCACTCATTGTTGGAAGATTGCCAAAGGACAAAGGAATGCCCAAAGCCTGGCCTGTCAGTCACCCCACTCCCACCCCCAGTGTCCAAGGAGATGTGCACATGAACACCTGTGATGAGTAATGCCTGTCGTGCAGAGTTCCATTTAGGCTGCGGAGCACCCCATTGAGACTGGAGGCTCTGCTGGGGTGAGAGCTCTGGGAAGTTCTGCCCTCCTCAGAGTGTCCTGACCAGTGGAGGAGCAGCAGGGTGGGGGGCAGGTGACAATGGACACATTACCCATTGGGCTGGAGATGGAGGTCTGGGCTGGGAGGGGAAACTTCAGAAGGGGAAACCAGAAAGAAAAAAAAGAACAACTAGTTTGAAACAAGCAAGACAGTGAAAAGGGGGAAATGGATTCACATAAGTTTGTTTTGTTGATAACAAAGTTGGCAGTGCTTTCTCCTTTCTCAGACCCCAAGAGCTGTAAATATCAGACTTGCAAAAGAGGTTGTATTTCTCAATTCTCTTAACAGAATTAAAAAACTTCCCAGATCTTCACATGGGTCAGCACTCAGCAGTGATTCTATTTTAATACATTAGGCTTAATGTGCCTCAAGAACGCTCAGTCATCTCTTGCCAAAGAAATTTTTTTTTTTTTTGCTTTTCTTTGATTAGCTTCTCTATATTTTTGTCTCTCGGGAGCAAGTACTCTATGGTCAGCACTTCCTTTCTGAGCTAGTCTAGAGGCGTGTTTCCTGGATAGTACTTTTGTAGTACTATCCTGTTTCTCCGAAAATAACAGTGTCTTATATTAATTTTTGCTCCCAAAAATGCGCTAGGTCTTATTTTCAGGGGATGTCTTATTTTTCCATGAAGAAGAATACGGTACACATTTATTGTTAAATAAAAATAAAGGAAATTTATTACCTGTATACGGTACGGTAGTATGATAGTTGTCAACACAAACCAGACAAACTGTGAATCCTACAGTATCAAGAATTGAGTCATTTATTCAATGACAAATCATGTCATCATCTTCTGGAACATCATCATAACAATCCAATTCCTAAATTTCCTGGTGAATTTCTTGTGACTCCATTTCTTTCAGAATCAGTGGACCAAATCTCTCATGTTTAGCCTGGGGGGGGGGCTTATTTTCAGGGGGATGCCTTATATTTCACTCAGAAGGAAACCTGTAAGTAGATCTTATTTTCGGGGAAACACGGTAGATAGTTGCTCTTCTGGCAAGCAGCATGGATATCACTTGAGAGAGAACTTGTTAGAAATATGGAATTTCTGCTCTCACCTCAGAATTGGCATCTACATTTTAATAAGATCCCCAGGTGATTTACATGCACAGTATAGAGATATATTTCCTTATGAATTGTAACAAATGTAAGCTAAGGCCATGCTGGTTCTAAGAGCTATCAGTTGTGGATTCTGAGCAAGCTGGAGGTCTTCTGCACCTGTCAAACACCCAGACCCACCTGTGCACCAGCTTTCACTCAGGAATCCCATCCTTCCCTAGTGTGCAGTTCTTCTGCTATCCGTCACCATTGACAGCTGCTTGTAAACACTTTTGTGTTGGGGGCACAGTCATCAGAAATGTTTATCAAACAATGAAGGGGTACAACTTCATATATCTGATTATGTTTCAGTTTCATATGTTTGTGAGGTGTTCTTTCATAGGACACACAACCCCCCCCCCCCCAATTTAATGTAATTTTATTTTTTTCAAAAGAAATCCTTATTAAATGTAGATACTATGCATTTTCATGTATATACATTTATATATTAGGGGAGGGGGGGGGAAAGCTTCCTCAAGCAAGCCAAGTGCTTTTATTTTGGGCTTCAAAAATGTGGCTATAGCTACCATGAAGGCAGCTTACCAACCTACCAGGTATTCATCATGAGGTATTCTTTGCCCAGGGTTCTGTGATTACCAGAAAGTCAAGACCCTGCTTTCATGGGGCATACATTCAACTGGAGAGAGACAGAAAAGGGAAAAGTAGTTCTATATAATAAAAGCCCAGCAACCAAACAGGGGAACCACTAGAACAACCAGAATTACTGCATCCCCTCAGTCTGGCCAGCCCTGCCCCCATCGGGGTGAGCCAGCTGAACCCCAACAGTGCACAAATTTGTGCACTGAGCCTCTAGTCTAATAATGCTATTAGATAGTAACAAGTACCCTACTTGAGCTAGGGTAGTCAGGAAAGGGCTCTCTAAGAAGGTGGTTTTTGATCTGAGAACTGGATAGCCATGCAGAGATTTGGGGGAATAGCCTTCAAGGCAGAGAAGTTGCAAGTGCCAGGTCTTGAGGTTCATGAGTTCAAGGAATGCAGCTGGAGCAGAGTCAGCCAGGTCAGAAAAAGATGGGAGCAATGGATGTGAGGATTGGGTTTTATTCTCAACCTAGTCAAGTTTCTCAGCCTCTCTGAACAGATCCCCTCATCTGAAATAGTAATTCCCATCTCACAGAGTCCCTGGGAGGACAGAATGAGTTAGGGCTGTAGTGAGTATGTGGGACATAGTAAGTGGTCAGAACTCAGGAGCAATTATTGTTCTTCATTCATTTCAGTAGAGTGATCTTCCAGCTGTGTAGCAGTGGCTCCTAGTTTATATTTATGGGACGGGAAGCCATTGCAGGGTGCTCTGAATTGTGTTTTAAATAATGGGATGGGTCTTCATGACTGCATCCACATTCTCTCATCTGTCTACCTCCTTGGATGTGATCCTCGATACATACTTTAAAGATCACTGACTGGAGCTGGGCACAATCTGGTCACGGGACATAGGATACTCTGTGAAACCATGACACATCTTTCCTGGACAGAGTTCCGGAACCAGCTGGACTAACCCACTGCAAGCAAGCTCCCGCATTTGGTTTTACCCATCTGTGCCTTGCTTACCCTGTCTTGTACTTACTTTCTAAAGGATGCAGTACATCTATTCCCCTGCTTTTGGGTGAACTGAGGAAAGCTATCTTCTCATAACCGGATGCTCAGTTTTCTAGGAGGCATTGTTTCTTCAGATGAGAAGGGCTTGGCTAATCTTTCCATTTGTTCTGTCAAATGTTAAGGAACAAGGTGATATCTGGCTAGAATCTGTGGAAATTTGCTTAGGGTTTGCCCTTCACTCAGTACTCAGGAGTCGACTTACCTCCTCGCACAGCCACACGCTGGTTTGTTACTAACTTCCTTATTCTGCACAGTGATATCATTCTCCTGGGGAACCTCGTAGCCAGCTCACTCTGCATTCCTGTTGCATGATAATTGAGCCTGTTCCTTTATCTTGTTCCAGTTTGAGGGTGTAGCAGTTCTTAGAGTGCTCCTTTTTTTATTCTGAGAAACAATGGTCCCAGCCCCATCTTCTACTTGTAAAAGCAGAATTTGCTATAAAGCTTTTGGCTGGGAGGCATGCTGGGCCCTTGGGTGATTAGCCAGGAACAGACCAGGACAGAGCTGGGAGAACCAATCGGATTTCAGCCTTACCTCTCCTCCCACGGCCAGAGGCCAGGAGTTAAACTATTGTGTCCAAGAAGGCATGTAATCCAGCTTGTTAACCTCTCAGGGACATATTCTAGCATGACTATGTGTGTGTGTGTGTGTGTGTGTGTGTGTAACTATTCAAACACATGCAAAAGTAGTTTGACTAGAACAGTGGTTGGCAAACTCATGAGTCAACAGAGCCAAATATCAATAGTACAATGATTGAAATTTCTTTTGAGAGCCATATTTTTAAAAATTAAACTTATTCTAATGCCACTTCTTCAAAATATTTTTGAGATAGTTCAAAATATTTTTGAAATAGCTTCCACACACACTCAAGGGGCCAAAGAGCCGCATCTGGCTCGTGAGCCGCAATTTGCCAACCACGGCACCAGAACAATGAACTCCCATGTATCTATTGCTCAGTTTCAATAGCCACTAATGTTCCACCTTCCTTGTTTCACCTGACCCACTTCCCCATTCATACCTTCCATCCTACACCATTATCGGTGGGTCCATCCTGCGCTCCCTGATAAGGCGGCATCACCATTTCTCACCATTTTCTTCCACAGTAGACACGCTCATCTTTCATCCATTGTAGCAGCAGAGACCTTGGGGGAGAAAAATAAGCTGCAATTATAGTAAAGATTTTTGAATTACATATTGCACTCTGACTAGCCGGCCTTCTGGAATTTTCAGCATCTGAAAGGCTTGTGAGCAGAGCGCCATAGTTTAGCAATTTCTTTCTCACTATTTCCTTTTTAATTTGGTTTTATTGCCTAGTTAACACGAGCAGAAGCTGTGTAGACTAAAAAAAAGCTGTGGTTTGGAGGTTTTACGGTAAAGTTCTTTGTAAGTTCTTTGGAGGATTTGATAGTTGTGGTTGTACAGCCATTATTCGTAGCACATGAGGGAGGCTAACTGGGCTGGAAAATGGTAAAACAGGCTGTGGAGCCAGACCGAGCCAGATTTAAAAAAGTCAGCTCTAACAACTACCAGCTATGCCACCCTAGGAGCCTAGTCAAGTTTCTTAGCCTCTCTGAACATATCCCCTCATTTGAAAAAACGGACAATACTAGTTTCCTCCTCACAGAGTCCCCATGAAGACAAAATGAATTAGGGGTGTAGTGAGGACTAGGGGTGTACCTAGTACATAGTAGGTGGTCAGAACAAGCTATTATTGTTATCCATTCATTTCAAGACAGTGATCTTCTAACCATCTCACAGCTTTCCTCACATGTTTTAAGAACAGTTCTGAAGGGTGAGATGCCACACACCAAGTGAAGGCCACGCTGTGATTGCCACAGGGCTCTTGTGAAATAGTCTGTGATTCAATTCCCAATTCCCAGAAAACTGAGGCCATTCTTAATAAAGTAGGCAGTTAATTATTTATGCATTTGTTTGTTTGTTTATTTATTTATTATATATTTTATTGATTTTTCACAGAGAGGAAGGGAGAGG